CCCCCCCCCCCCCCCCCCACAAAAAAAGAAAGAAAAAGGAATAGCCTTCCTTCTCTGTATTACGAGATGGATAATGGAAATCATGCAAGAAATATTCTATATAGGATTGTACGGTTAACATGCGATAATGAAATTAAGTAATTAAATTCTAGTTTGTCTTACGAGGAAAATTTTATATATAAATTGAAAATCTGGATAATTTATATCACGCACTCTTTTGTTTCTAGTTAACTAGGTATCCCATAATTGAAGTACAGAATAACCACCAGAAAAAAAACTGTTCTTGCAATCAAGCCTAAGAATTGGAAAGAAGGTTCTTGGTAGTTATTCTTCATGTGTATTAGATTTTTCTACAAATAGCTATATATTTTTATGTTTCAAATAGAGCAAAGGAAAAGTGAAACAAAACAGTTTAATAGACACTAGAGAATATGTTGATTTCTTTTCTACATTTTCTTTTTTTCCATTGAAAATATTAGAAAGGTCCTTTGGCTTTTCCTTACTACAACTGTTGCATATGATTTTAATTCTAGGACTATTCCATCCAAGAAGCAATTGAAGATAACTATGGGATCACATTACATACCAAGAGGGAAGAAACTCGGAGATGACGCTCACTTTTTGTGCACAAAGGAGCAAGTCATAGGTATAGCGGATGGAGTTGGTGATTGGGTCAAACATGGAGTAGATGCCGGACAGTATGCTCGAGAGCTCATGGACCACTCAGAAACGGTGGTTCAAGAAAAGAAAAGAACCTTTTTCAATCCAGCCACAATAATAAAGAAAGCATATGCAAGAACAAGCGCAATGGGATCATCAACTGCATGCATCATAGCACTGAACGGCCAGGTACATGATTCTATTCATATGACGCAGGCATCATACTTGTTAATCCTACTCTTTCAATCATTTTGTCCTCCACTTTAACCTAGATGAGTATGCCTTTCTTATATTTTTATTATTAGAAAATCTGTTCATTTAAAAGATCCATCTAAACTCACCAGAAATTGCAAAAATGTAGATCCCAGGTCAAATTTCATCTGATACTTACCTCTTATACCTCTCAATTTTCTTATTCCTTAAAGGACGGCTGTTACCACGCTAAAGTAGATTCTTGAAATATGTATATAAGCTCATATCGTGAAACTGACTTTCTAGTTGCACATAAGTGGTCGTATGTGTGGAACACTCAAATCTTCCCTGATACAAGAACTCAAGGAACATCATGCATTTAGTTTACGTTGATTGTTCTCTCTAGTTAACTCAGTGCGATATGCACATTGGCATAGCTAAGATTTAGTTTTTGTGGTGGTGGTGGGTTGGGGTCTGTCTCTGTGTGTGTTTCTTTTTCCCCTTCTTTTTTTGGGTGGGGCTGGGGGGAGGGGGGGTGGCGGTTGTTCACTTAGCATTACAGTAATGCCTGCTAAATTTTTTCGATTGGTGCAGTTTCAAGGGTAATAGAGTGGGGGGGGGGGCGGGGGGGGGGGGATCTTGTTGGGAACTTCAAGAATCCAAGTTCTGTGGGTAGTCCAAAAAATTCTGTCTCTGCAATGAAGTAGCAGTAGAAGTTGTTAAACAAAAAAAATAAAAATAAGCTATATTTTTAAGAGTGAACAATGAAGATCCGTCTTGTTTCTTACTAGCAAGAACACTTAGTATTAGTGAAAATATTGCAAAGTATTTGTTTGCTTGTGATTCTGTGAATGCGTTTCATTACAGAATTTTTCTGGCTAAATATCAGAAATCCCCCCTTAGCTTTGGACACTTATTGGAAAACCCCCTTAACTTTCAAAATATCAGAAAATCCCCTTTAAGTATCAGGGTTATCAAAAAATCCCCTTTAACTTTGAGATTTTATCAAAAATCACCATAAAATTAGTGGGGCTTTCTGATAAAATCTTAAACTTAAGAGGGGTTTTCTGATAACTTGAAAATCTCCAAAGTTTTCTTTTTGGGGGTGGGGGGTCGGATGGGTTCTAATATTTAGCAGATTTCTTTTGTGATGTTTCTCAACAACTAGTAGATGTATTCTGGAAAAATATCATATACAAGACATAAGACGCATATTGAACCTTCAAATCAAGTTATCAACTTCGTTCTTCTTTTGTTGTGATGTTTAAAATTTTAAATTTCATCTACTACTAACATGAAGGAAGTAAGAAAAGGAAAGAAGTTTCGGTTGTTTTTTCTTCTGAATTACTACGTAAAGATTTCTAAATTACCATGGGAACAGAACTAAAGAAGGATGCTGAGAGCGTAGTTGAATTCCACATAAGGCATTATAATCTGACATGGAAAGAGAATGTAACAAATTATGCCTTCTCTTTTTACTTGTTCTAAGACTTCATTTCACTAATCTCAGGACCCACTTGAAAGGGAAATTTAATGTCAATGAGTGCCTTATTAGCAAGTGAATTTAACAATTTGATAATTCTATTACTATCTTTACAATGAAGTGGTTCAGCCAATACTTCTGATTTCCCTGATTTGTTTATTTTTACCTGGTGATTCCACTCCCAAAGGGTAGCGAATCATAGCTTCATAAAGAGAAATCCATAGGAAGAGAGGGAGGCAAACTCTTTACCCCTCCCTGCCTCAGCACCTGGGTGTGCATAAATATTTCTTTTGTGGATTGAAGCATCACTATGTTTTATGTAGGGAGCAAATCATAGCTTCATAAAGAGAAATCCAGAGGAAGAGAGGGAGGCAAACTCTTTACCCCTCCCTGCCTCAGCGCCTGGGTGTGCATAAATATTTCTTGTGTGGATTGAAGCATCACTATGTTTTATGTAATATTGAAGTTACGGAGGGAAAAAATTAACTCTATCTGGTGAACTTGGAAAGTCAAGAATGGTCAAAAATTCTTGTCAATTTTGAAATAAGGTTATTACTGTTATGAATTTTTTATTACTGTTATGAATTTTTTACTTAGTATGGTTCTATTTTATTGCTTTGCAGTTTATTCATGCTGCCATTGTTGGTGATAGCGGCTTTTTAGTGGTAAGAGAAGGTTCTGTTGTTTTCCGATCACCTGTGCAGCTACATGACACTGATCATCCATATCAGTTAGGAGCACACACTAAACTTGATGATCCTAATTGCGCAGAGGTCAGCACATTATCTTTTTTTAAACTGTAAAATTTAGGAAGGATAATTGATCTCAGATTCTGCAGAAGCACTCTTGTATGTGCATGATTAGAATATAATAGCTATTAGCTTGCTTCACTATTGAACTCTACATGCCACTTGTTTTCACTATTGAAAGCTATTAACTTGCTTCACTATTGTTTACTACCTCGCTAAAGAGGAACTTCTGCTTAGACTTCTGAGCTAGCAGAGTAGATAGAGATGGAATAAATATAAATTTCATTGATTGCATGCTTGTTTACATCAGAAGGACATATCTTTGGTATATCTTCAATAGGACATACCTTAGGTTTATAGTGATTTATCTTCAGTAGGTACATCAAGCAAGACATCTAATTTGATCTCTTTTAGCAACATGAAGACTGATTTTTTATACAACGTTTCATTGGCATCATATTTAGTAGGTTCCTGATGACTTTCACATTCGAAGAAAATTTCATAGATATTTTAATAGAAAGAGGACTTTCCTACAAAATATGATCTTTTGGTGGATTTTTAATGTGGAGAGGACCCTGATACCAGAAAGAACTTGATAAATTTTCTGATAGGGGAGTTTTCCTGTCATATATGCATTTGTTCTGGAGTTTCTGACAAGTTGGAAATTTTCTTGTCGAAGATATGAATTTTACATTCTTCTATGACAGTCTTCTCGGTTGGATCTTTTTACACTGTCCTTCCCAATCACCCAGCAAGTTTCGCACCTTATCGGTGTCTTTGGTCATGTCCAACTCTGCTTAATTACCGGATTCATGGCTAGCTCTACTTGATCCTTTGCTTACAAAGGAGAGCTTGGCTAAGCATGGAAATCATGTTTCCCAATCTTGTCCGTTATGTGACAATAACATAGAATCTTCTCAGCATCTTCTCCTAGACTGTCATTTCGCTAGAGATGTTTAGCAACCAATTACCATAAAGTTCCATGTAAACTCATGGCCTTTCTACGATATTGGATCTATGGCATGATTGGCGTTTTCCAAATATCCCATTCAACCCAACAAATTGAATGGGATTGTGCGATCATTGCGACTTGTGGTTGATTTGGAAAGAGAGAAATAAGAGAATCTTCAACTCTTAAGATCTCGACAACGTCAGAGGTTATTCAAAATTTAGCTATGCTTGCTGACTTTTGGCTCTCGCACCGACTATGTAATAGTTAGTTTTTCTTATCTTAGTTAGTTTTTTTTATCTTCTTTTCTTCGCCCTTTTATATTCTGTATCCTCTACCCTTCTTATCATAGAATGGGCTAAGGCCCTCATTCTCAAAAATAAAATATATGGAATCTTGACGACGGGAAGATGACTTCCCATCAAAGGGCTTGGGGTTTTTGAATTTGGAGTTGTGGTCTAATGACATGATGGCCATATTTGGATTTTAAGTCCATTAAATTGACATAGAGGTCGTATTTGAATTTGAAATACAATTTAGTGATGTAAAGGTCAGATTAGGATTTGGTGCATAGTTTAGTGACATGGAGATCGATTTTGAATTTAGAACCCAGTTTAGAGACATAGAGGTCACATGTGAATTTGAATGTAGTTTAGAGGGTTGCATTTGAATTTTGAATTTAATTTAGTGGCATAGAGGTCGGATTTGAATTTGAAATCCAGTTTAGTGGTGTAGATGTCACATTTGAATTTGGATCCAGTTTAGTGACACGGAGGTTGTGTTTGAATTAGATGTCCAGTTTAGCGACTAATTTGCCAAGTTTGCATCAGGAATCCAGTTTAATAACATGAAGATTGATATATGTAAATTTTTTCTCGTTTTCTAGCGATACACCGGTCTGTACTTTTAAAATTCGTAGATTTCCTTTGTTCAGGGACATTGCAATCCGTTGTATTAAAATTTACAATTTGCTTTACTCTATGGACATCACTGCCCGCAATTTAAACAAATTTCTTTAATTTAGGGAAGTAAGTTTGTCCTTAAAACACAATTACAACTTCAGTTATCTTTGCAGAATGTGATCCAAATTTTCTACCTCTTGTCGATCATAGGCCAACATTTCATGATTCAGTGCTAAATTCTTCCTTGATGAGATAATTATGAGCATGCTAGAGTCACGTGTAGAACCTTGGATGATCTGTTATGTAGCATGCAAAACCTATTTCTAGTTATGCAACTTATCGTCATTTCACAATGTCATAGGTAGAATTTCTTTTTCTTTTTCTGGTGCCTCCCTCCCTCCCTCCTTCCCTCCCTCTCTCTCAAATCTGCAAAACAAGCATAGATAAACAGTGTTCTTTCTATTCTATGCCCAAGGTGATTTAAGGTAGTAGTTTCTGGACAGTTCCTTATCTAATTAACAACGATCTAATCACTAAATAAATAGTATCTGTTTCTGTTCATTGTTAACTCAGCTGTGGTTATTGATCAATGAAGAATGGTGGTGGCTGTCTTAACCTTAAATATCACCACGATGAAACATGAAAGTCTTGATATTGCTTCGGTGTATGCATTCTGACTTGTTGGTTTATGCTTCCTAAAGCAAGATCTAGCTTCTTGTGTGCTTTAGTTATTTAGTAGTGAGCCATTTTCCTTTTCAGTGGTCTGTTACATTACGTTCAAATAAGCCTTGTGCAATATATATGCTTCTCAAAATTTTATCATAGTAATATGTATGAAAGGAAGTCTTAAAGAAGCAGTCTGTCTCGTTATCTAAATTGCCTATTAATTTACTGTCAGGTTCTTCTAGCAATACCTCTTAAGCAACATAAATTGTACATAAGTAACAAATTTGAAAACTTGCATGTTTTTTGCTAGATTTTGAAAATGTAATATTGATATGTTTCTCTTGCAATTTCCTTATCATAAATACTGTTCCAAATAGGTGATGAAAGTCGCTGTAAAGGCAGGAGATGTTATTGTTGCTGGCACTGATGGGCTATTTGACAATGTGTTCGAGGATGAAGTGTCAAGGATCGTGCAGTCTGCGGTCGCATCTCATTCAGGGCCCCACGAGCTGGCAGCTGTTCTTGCTAACGTCGCTCTTGACTACTCAAATAGTACAACCGGAGAGACACCATATTCAATAGCTTCGCAGGAGGCTGGAAGGGATCATATAGGTGGGAAGCCTGATGATATCACAGTGGTTATCATGTATATATGTTCATCTGATGCATGATTCGGTTGTCATTCTCATCGTATAATCTTTGGGAAGTGAAATTTCGAAAGCCCTTCTAGTTTCAAAAGCTCTTCTAGTACGTATCCTGGTTCGGTTTTGTGGTTAGTTTCTTTTGCACATAATAGAGTTGAATTGATCTTTTGCACATAATACATGTCGATTTTTATGCTTTGTTGTATAATTTTGAAAGTTCATGGGTTTTTTTTTCTTCTCAGATTTACAGAGTTAGGATGTTCGTGCAAAAACACCC